CAACTATTACAATTAAGGACGTTTTACACATTCCGAAGAAGATTGGCAGTTTTAACCTTATTGGTAGGGTAATTTAAAAAAAGGTCAGGATATCGAGGTAATTATGGAATCACCCACATAAAGGGGACTGTCAGGGTCAGCACCCTGGTCGCAGCAGTGACAAATCGCAGATGCGAGTTCTAGATGTTGATTATCAAATACCCCTACCCAGATCTAGATCTAGCCAGTCCCCCGAGTGAACCCAACCCATTGCGTTGAAAAGCAGCCCCTTTCATAGGCAACGCGTCATATCTATAGCGAATATCCGTTTCGAACTGTAGCAATCCTTATTATAGATGTTTACGCCATACGCTCCCTTCCCGCTTGTTTCGGGGGGGGGGGGGGGGGGGAAGACAAATTTATGGTTTCGTTCAACAAGCAAGGTCGATATATGGGATATTTATTTGAAATTAAACTTACCCGAGTCGGGCCCCAGATGGTGTCTGTAGTAGGAGTTTGTGTAGACGACGACGTTGCCCCAGTACCACGTGATTCCGTGGGGTGTGTAGACCAGGAAGGCGCCCACTAGACTGCTGTACTTGTAGCACTTGCGCTTGTCCCAGGATCCCATGCTTGCAAGGCTTGTTGGCTGCTGACAAATGACAGCAGATGTGGTGTCTGTTTGGGGCGTGTCTGGTGTCATTGTGGGCGGGTCTGATGTCGTTTAAGGTGGGCCTGCTGTTTTGTGGGCGGGCTTACTGTCTTTTGGGGCGGGTGTGATGTCTTTGTGGGCGGGTCTGATATCTTCAAGGTGGTTGTGCTGTTTTGTGGGCGGGTTTAATGTCTTTTGGGGCGGGTCAATTGTCTTTTGGGGCGGGTCTGATGTCTCTTTGGACGTATCTAATGTCTTTGTGGACGTCTGTGTATTTTTGAGGGAGGGAGAGTGAGTGAGAGAGAGAGAGAGAGAGAGAGAGAGAGAGAGAGAGAGAGAGAGAGAGAGTGTGTGTGTGTCTGTTGAAGTTATTACAAGTAATGAAGTGTTGGAAAGAGTAGCTGGAATGATTGTCGATACAACCATTAAAAGGAGAAGACAGAAATATCTAGGACATATTTTAAGAATGCCGAAGACAAGATTGCCTTATTAGACAGGGTATTTGAAACCAACTTGAAAAAGAAATCAAGCAAGACCAAGTGAAAGCTATAGAGACACAATACGTGGTCAGGAAGCCGTCACGGTTCAGAAAGGAGGGATGTTTGATTATGTGGGCCATGATAGCCCAAATAAGCTTACGGGGAGGGGAGGGGTGCTTATTTGGGTTACATAGAGTATAGTTCATGAAAGGAAAAACTTATATGGGCTACATATAATGTCTAATAAATGTTTCTTCACAAAACGATGTGCGAATGGGAGACGAAAGAAAGCCATGGTATTTAAAAATAGGAGGGAAAAAATTATAAAGCAAGCCCGCATCTGTCGTATTTTAAAACTCACAAAGTAGGCTACAACCTCGCCATCATTTACATGGGGTTTTTTCTTTCGAATTTGGCACACGGAACAGACGGGGTTATGCCTGAGTGGAGTTCGTTTTCTTTCTTTGTTTCCTTTTTCTTCTTCTATGTGTTGCATACATGCAATGTTGGCGTGAGAGACGCACCCCTGAGAGTAGGCCAGTTCTTAAAATCTTTCACCGTTGGGCCTTCTCTATTGAGGTCAAAGGAGTCCCTGGCTAGGCAGTGAAGGGTTAATGATGCATCATATCCCTATTATCAAAATAAAGTTGAAACGTGAGTAACTAGAAAAATTCATTAAAACATTAATTCTATACAGATAGAAAAACATTATCATCATTTTTTCTCTTTCGTTTTTAAAGGGAGGAAGGAGTGGAAAAAGTACATGATGGAATGATGGAAAGTGTGTGTGTGTGGGGGGGAGGGGGGGTCGTCTCGAAGAGAAGTCAAGTTTTGTTTCTTCAGGGGTATCGTACCTGTCTGAGCAATTTTTTTCTTTCCACTATACTCGAACTGGACCAGGTGTATTGGCGCCCATGGTGTATTGGCGCCCATAGTGTAGTGGCAAGGCTCTTGACCGCTAGCTACTTGCCGATGGCGTATGTTCGATACCCCAATGGGAAAGTTTTAATGCTCTATCTTCTCCGTTTGTCTCTATTGGAATGTTGCATCGCACTCAGCCTGGGTTGGCTCTGGCAAGCGGAGTTAAAATCGGCCCATCCCTTAACCCTCTTCGTACGCCCTGGGGTCACTTTGTACCCCCGCGGTTGTATTCTTTACATTTTAGAATTCTTCTAGTTCGAAGATCTCTTTGCAACTTTCAGCATTTCTCAAAACATCATTTTGACAGTAAGTAAGTACGTTTATTCAGTGTTTAAGGCCATTGGCCCACATCACATCATATAAAGCACTCATTTGATCAATAAAGTTTTCATAATGAATAAGTACAGGTTGTGCACATATCTTTTATCGTAGGTCTAACATTGCATATTTCTGTCACTGGTAGGGATTAACACTTTCCTTTGATGGACAAAGTGTGAACAATAGAAAATAAAGTGAAATTCATCTTCAATTTAATGAGATTCACACCTCTCACATAAGGGCGAATTCGTTAATTTCCCCCGATAGAGATGGTTATTTAATGGAAGGCTATGGGTTTTTAGCAAAGATATAACTTTTCTGCTCCAGTACTGTGGGAGGTCGGTGATATATTCAGCTGTTTCTTGAAACGGAATTGTAAGAGATAATTAATTATACTTGCGACATACTTCTTCCTCTATGTTATGCGCAGAATGATCAACAAGTCTATTTTTTACTTCACTGAGAAAGAGTCTAGTACTTTCAACATTTTGAGAAAACCAGGCATATATCCAAAACCCAATCGTGGAGCAGTGGCGCTGCACAATAGGACAGTTTACTGGTGGGCGTAAGCCAAAAACACTACACGACGTTCGCTCTAACACAAAACAAGAGGAATGGAGTGAGTTGAAATGCCGACTATTTGTTTGTGTATTGGCTATGTGGGTAATAGTTGCACTTTATAAAGTCTCTCATGTACGAACCTGTTGTAAACACTTTACTTTTAGCAGGCGACGTTGAGTCAAACCCAGGACCTACTTTCGAGGAGCAGCTCGATACAATCAACAACAATATTTGTGAGAAATTCCTTACCCTTACAATGGAGGTGCAGAAGATAGTGTGTTCTATGCAAAAAGTGGAGAGAGCTATTCCAGAAGTAAAAGAGAGCATACATGTTGTAAAAGAACGGGTCGACGAAATAGAGCGCTGCCACGATATCCTCCTGCTTGACATCAGCGCTAACAATGATCTTATAACACAAACACAGAGCGTCTATGCCAGGTGGAGGACAATAGTGAGCGTCTAGAACAGTACTGTCGCCGTGAAAATGTTATTTTCCACGGAATAATGGAGGACAAGGATGGCGACAACACTGAAATGAAAGGAAGATAACCGATCTCCTAAACAAAGCAGTGCCCTCCAAAACCTGGAAGGAGGAAGACATCATTCGTGCACATCGATTGGGCGCACACGGCAGGGGCAGCACGAGGCCGGTCATAGTTCGTTTCACACAGTTCGTGGACAAACTAGAGGTTCTCAGGGCGAGACAGGATTTTCGTAGAATGGATGTTGGCGTCTCAAATGACCGTACTCTGAAGCAGCGCCAGGAATTGGGCAGACTGAGAGACAAAGGCCAGAGAAGATACTACAAGAATTGAATACTGGTTGTGGTTCCAGAGACTCAGCTGGCGCCCTCGTGTTCCTCCGCCACAACCCACCGACACATTCGTAACGCAGGGAGATCAACGCAGGCACACGGAACAACAACAGCGAGAACTCCAGGAGGTCTGTCTGCGGCGAGATAGGAGTTCGGCCGGCCCCTTCAGAACAACAGTGAAAACAGAAGTACCGGAAAACCAAATGCATTTAGCTGCAATAAATAACATTAACAACCCGTGTTTACATTCTACATGAATTATGAATACTCACCCGTGTATCGTGAGACATTATTGAAGAGCGTTGGCCAGTTTAATGAATGGTGGGAAACGATCAATGTAAAATATGGAAACTTGCCTTGGTTGATTGCTGGGGATTTAAATTCTAGGACCGGTGTAATGGATGATTTTATTTTGACTGATAACATGGCTTCTTTTGTTTATGGATTTGATACTTGCGATTTTATCTCAGATTATATGGATTTCGATGTCAGCGGTCGTATGTCTCGAGATATTTAGAAACAAACGCATTTGGGTTTCAACTTATAGAGTTTTGTAAAATTAACAAACTTCAAATACTGAATGGTAGAGTAAATGGAGACGAGGAAGGGAACATCACCTGCATTGCAAACAAAGGCATTGTAAGCACGGATGGGTTTTAGGATGTAATTAAAGCTTTTAAAATAATCCCTAGATCAGAGTCTGACCGTTTCCATCTTAGTCTAACACTTACAGCACCTGGCACCGAATGTGAACTCATTGAACAAGAAGTTTTGTGTCTTTTATAAAATATCCAGAAATGTTTTTGGAACAACGCATACGTCGAAGACTATGTACAGGCATTAGAGGACAACCTGTTGGGTGTTCAAAAAGATTTTTCTGATCTTATCCACGCAGGTAAAACAGACGATGCTGTGGTGATGTTGAATCATTGTGTTAAAAGTGCTGCCGATTGTATGTAATCTACAGGTGTTAAAAGGTTCAAAGAGCGTACATCCCAACCACCATGGTGTGATAATGAATGCTATTAAGCAAAAGGGAAAAATACAAAGCAGTACATGAATTTCATAATTCGAACTCAAATGAAGCATTAGATAACTACCGAGCTTTGAATAAAGAAATTTAAAATCCTCATCATTTTGACAGACTGCTATGCAAAGGCGTACGGATCGGATTAACGAGTAAATTTCCTTTTTTGAAAATGGTGGCACAGAGTTCTCCACGTCGTATGGATACGATAGTAATGCACGACCTACGGATAAGGTTAAGGAACAATTCACAAACAGTTGGACAAAAATGACCCCCCCCCCCTTGTCATCTTCTCCCATCTTTCCCGAGACACCCCTAGGGGGTAACACTATGACGCCAACCAAACTATGTACATATGTATCTAGCTTTTTGCAGTCTGTGCTATGGGGAGGTAACTATTAATTTTAGCTTTTAAGCCAAAATATATGGCCCAATTTAATTGTGTTAATTTTAGGCCAGGAAAATGTGGTCTATAACAGTTTTTATTCCTTTCTTCCCCCCTCCCCCCTCCCCACTCCCCACCTTTTAGAGCATCATGGTTGACGTGAACTTTGTAAGGACCTCCCCATCTGAGCTGACGTCATTTGTGAACGGTCAATAAATGTTGTAAACTGTATCAATGAATGCGTTCAAGCAACTTTAACCTAGATCTAGCATGAAAACAATTAATAATGAAGTCGGTTGCACACGCGTCATAGACACGCAAATCAACCCGCATTTCGCGTGAACAGGTTAGTGTCCCGTGAACGTTTATATGGGATTTTCTTGTACAAATTTGTTCCTCATCGTTACTTGTCACGTTTCATGAGAAGTTGTGCCATTCTCAGACTTGAATTAAGACATACACATGACGCAAGTACGCACGCACGAACGCACACAT